GATGTTATGCTTTCTAAATTACTTTCATTTTACAGTCGTTTATTGGGCAAGCCTTTATTTCATGGCGCTATATTTTATGAAAACAATTGGATTTTAGAGTTGATTACCTCCTAAACCTTAGTTTCGTTTAAATCTGCAAAGCTGATTTGTCTATGCCTAATGCTATGATCATAGATAATTCTCAATGAATTCTTGAAACCTGCAATTTGGAGAATACCCTTTAGGCCAGGAATTAACAATCGAATACAATATTGTGTTTGTATCTATCTCTTATCAATCATAGGCTTGTATAATTGTATCTCAATAAGGGCCTTTATGAAGTCAATTATGACATGTAACTAGATCAAATCTAATGGAACTAACGTAAGTTGCGTCGTTACCCTACTGCTCACGCACACTTATTTCTAACAGTAAAATATGCGCACAAATTCCCTTGTGTCCTAGCGATATGATCAAAAAGTGAAATTAAAGCATACGATCCAGTTTACATCTACTCCATTATTTTATCTCAGGACCTGGCTGGTTCCTTAACTCCTGCTCTTATTCGTGAAGCCCTAGCCCTGGACGAAATCAAAACCCATCATTGGCTCATCTTGGGCTGCAGCGCTGTTACTGGTGCAAATTTACTTGAAGGCATCAACTGGCTGATTAAAGATGTATCTTCCAGAATTTTTTCCCTTGATTAAATTACTTTTTTCGTTTGTTTATACTCTTTGTTAATTATTTTCATAACCACAATAACTTGCATTTATATTCATTTGGGAATAAGCTACATAAATAGCCTTAGCTGTGAATTATTATCATGCATCGTTGCCTTGCAGCTCTGCTATTTCACTCTCAATAATGAAGGTTAGGTATTTCCTCCTTATTTTAGGTGAATGCTGGAAAATGTTAAAAACAGCTATATATGCATCAATCTTTGCAAATAGCAGTCTGCCCTATTTCTACATTTTATACTCCGGGCGTTTTTCACTCTCACTTGATTGCTTCAGCTTATAAAGCGTTTGGTTTTACTTATTCGAATGTTGATCATCTTAAAGGTTTGATTATTTAGAGATTAGATCCTCCAGTGAATTATTTCTTTGATCGTATTTCGATTCACCCTATCTGGTACTTTCTTTTCAGGTGAGTGGCACATTATTCTATCCGCCTTTTCTATTGTAACCCTTGAGTGGTGAGATTTATTTAAAGTTTCCTAATGAGGATTTAGATGATCGCCAGGGCGTCAATTCCTTTCTAGCATATGCTTGGTCGTTAGCTCACCGCACGTTTCCCAAATATGGGACGACCATTGCAATTTCTAATTTAGTTTAAATTTGGTCAGTGTGTTTTGTATCGTTAAACATGCACAGGTTAACCGTTTCGAGTCGTCGTCTTGACAATTCTGGAGTAAACTAGCTGCAAGGCTAGTATTGCTGCGAAAAACTAAACCCCACCACCGGATTGAGGAGGGTCTTTCAAAGACTTACTCATTTCATTTACGATTTGCTCTTTGAATTAGTGGAGCCATATAGCTCTTAGCTAAACTTGATCCAAAACACGAGCTCGTGGATAAACTTCATGTGTGCCCATACAGCTTACCATTAAAGGTAATATATATGCGGTTCGTAATTCAATCATTCTAATGATTGTGTCTTTGTTTGAATCCTTACCTATTATGATCTCAGGATGCTGATTCAAAATTAACTTTAAAGTTTTTCTTGACTCATCTATCTAAATAGTATACTGTATCAGGAATTAAAAGAAAATCCCCACTTTCTATCGACTGTTCATCTACCAACTTAAAGGAGCCGTAGGAAATTTTTATTGCAGACTTCCATATTTATACGGTTTAATTTAAATTTATAGTAATAAATTGGGATGTCTTATGCATCGCACAATCTTTTAGTTCTCAATTATCTCTTTCAAGAAGTGATACTTTTTCAGTTCGTTATTTACAGATTCTTGTGGGAAATCTTTTACTTTACCCTTAAAGTCCTTAATTTTTGCCCCCTCTGTTTCTTAATCATTTATGACTTGGAACATTAGGTTATATAAACTCTTCTACTTGTATGCAGTACTTCTACATGGTTATCAATCAAAGGAACGATGTTTAACTCTATACCATTCTATTCCGTTAAACCTAAAGTTATTATTACATCAAAAAGTTAAGTTCAGGCTATTTTGCAGAGCCTTCTCTGTGGAGAAATCTAAAGTTAGGAGCTTAGCCTGAGTTGCTTAAGGTGATTTAAGGACTGATAGTTTACTCTAAGGTATGAAGACCAAGATGGTGTGGCCTTTTATATGGTCACAGTTTCCTTTGATTGTATAGAAGTTGTTTGACCTTGTTTTTGCATCTTGTTTATATTGATAAGAAGATCGAGAGGAACACATTTAGTCCGGAGTTCATAGTATGCATGATAATTTCCAGAATCGGATTGTGGATATGGTACATTCTCAGACGTTTCATTAGCATCGTCAGTGAGCCTTGTCATTCTTAGCATCATACTAAAACTCATCAAAGAGGCAAGTGAAGCCGATCCTTTGACCAAATGTCTGCTAAACAATTGTGGTGTCGCTCCTTCTGCCCTGGGCTATCCTATATCCTTGTATCATCCCTTTACTATCACAATTTCTTAATTGCCTACTTAAATGTGGTGTGGTTTTCCCTTTTTGAGCGGATTTCCTGAAAACTCTCCACGCCCCACGCTTGCTTTCTCGCCCCCCCACCCATGTGCTGGGATCGCAGAGTGGGGTATAAGAAGTAAGTAGGATCTCAACTGGCCATCTGTCTCGGTTTAGTGATTTTTTTTGTTAATAATTGTTTCTGGCTCTTACGATGTCAGTCATATGACGGACGAAAGCTCAGCACGGAGTCATCGGGGTCGTAGGACGGTGGGCCGAGATTTTCTCTGCAAAGTTCAGCAGACAAGGGTCCAAGGCAACCTTCCTGCTGTATCCGGTGAGGCCAATCTACCAATCCCTTCGACCCATCTTCTCAAACGAAATGAAAAGTATGCCCGTATCAATATATTAAGGGATTCTTCAAAACCCAGCTTCTCTTCACGTCTACTGTTAGCCAACTAGCTCTAGTCTCCACCACATCTATCATCCTTCTATTAATAGTGCCAAGTTTATGACTTCTTATGCCCTAGTCTTTTGTGTGTCAACCTATAAATATTTTGGTTTTACAATGGACATAATCAAAATAAGTAGAACCACAACATTTTTGGGTTGGCACGCAAGAGACTAAGGCATAGAAAGTCTTAGACTTGGAACTATGGCTAAAAGCACAATAGATGTGGCGGAGACTAGAGCAAGTTGGCTAACGGTAGACGTGTTTCATCAGAGACGTGGTCCATGAAGCAAAGGC